GGATGCTTAGACAATGAATGGCTGATATGCTCCACGTTGAAGTTTGAAGAAGTGGAAAAGAATCAGTTCTAGCTGCAGCCTCTACCACAGCCGTAAAAGCAACCATTGCTCTAGGCGTGCTAACGGCGCTTGTGGTATGGGGTGAGCTCTGTAGGCACTAAGTTTGTATGATATGTACAAATGTACATACATATGTACTATGTACGTATGTATGTATATGAATGAGCACCTAAATAGCGGCTATAGGTCGACTACTCCCCTGATAGCAGTTTTTTATTTTACTATTTATTTCTTGTTGTGTTTTTGTTGGGCACTTTTTATACCTTTCATGAGCATGAAATGGTATTATAACTTTGGTCCGATGTTTGTAAGTACCAGAACAAAAAGAGATAGACCCATTAAAATGTATACTTATATGATCAGAACGTCGAGCTGAGTTGATTTATCCATGTCCGTCTGTCCGTCTGTCTGTCTGTTTGTATGCAATCTAGTCTCTCAGTTTTCGAGATATCCGGATCAAATTTGGTAGGTGGGTGTATTTTTATAATGTATTAATCATTTGTCGGAACCGGAAGAATCGGACCACTATAACATATAGCTCCCATACAACTGATTGTTCAGATATGAGATTTTTCGTTATAATTCATCCATTTATGTAGCTAGGACCATGAAATTTCGCGCTGCTTTCACTCATTATCAGCAGAAGACTTACAGTGAAAATAACGAAGATCGGGTCACTATAACCTGCAGCCCCCATACAACTGATTGTTCAGATATGAGGTCTTTTATCATAACTCCTCCATTTATGCAGCTAGGAACATGAAATTTCGCACCATTTTCACTCATTATTAACAGAATACTTACAGTGAAAATAACAAGGATCGGGTGACTACAACATGTATCTTCCATACATCTGATTGTTCAGATATGGGATTTTACTGTAAAACTCCTTTATTTGAACAGCTAAAACCGATAAATTTCGTAAGATATTTTATAAATAATAATACAAAGTCTACTGAGAAAATCGTCAAAATCTATGCTGTATAAGCTTTATCTCCTATAGCACTGATTGTTCAGATACCAGTTTTTGCGATATATCTCCTTTATGTAGGAAACTAAACCCAATAAATTGTGTTACCGGTTTACATACCGATCACATAGCAGTGAAAATCACTTAGATTGGTGCCATATAAAGTATATCCTCCATACCTCTGATTGTTTAGAGGCGATTTTTTATATAAGTATGTAACTCCTCTATCGATGTATGCAGATGTATTCAAAATCAGTAATCTGTCAAACTAAAATTTGCAGACGTTCATGAAATGTATGAAGCCTTCGGCATAGCCGAATATATAGCAGGTTTGCTTACGCCTATTTGGAATGCATGTACCTAAGCACATACATATGTACATATGTATGTACATACATACGTATATAAGCGGGTTTAGTCGATAACTGAATGGTGCCTTTAATTTTTTATTTTTATTTCGCCTTTTAGACAACTTTAAATAGTAAAACGGAATATACTTAAAGCTGTATTGATAAGTTTTGCTATGCTAAATAGTTTGCGAGTTTGAAGAGATACATAATCTTTGAAATTTTTTCACCAGCAAAATCCTTAACAGGGTTGTACATAAATGCAGTGTGACCAGGTTAGCCTAGCTAGAGTTAGCAATTATATTTTAGGACTAGCTAGCTTCGTGACATTTTTCAGTTTCTTTTTGTTTGGTACCATTTCAATAAGTAACTTTCATCTTTTTAGTACTCTAAAAAAATCGAGTTTATAAAAATGATACAAAGTTTCGCGGTGAAATTGCCAGTTATACTTATAACTTTTATACTAACTGGAAATTGTTGAGTGAGACTAATCTTTTTTAAACTCGAGCAGGCAAAATGAAAGCTTAATTGAATTGCAATGGCAAGTTGAGGAGCTCTTATTAATCAGTACTTTCGGGCAGGGCTTTTTTACGATTTAGAAGCTGTATTATTAAACCTTCCAATAGCTCTGATATTCGGAAGCAAAACAACTTTTTTCTTTAAAGAAACGGATCTCAAATAAAGGAAGAATTGGAACATATGTGCCGCAGTGTGTATGAAGCAAAATTAAATTGGTACGGAAGGCATATCGCTTTAAGAGATTAGAAAAATGCTTCCTTATGAGAACCCCCCACTTGAATTTGTAGAGGAACTGTTAAATTTTTCGACAGTTTTCGGTGCTGATTTTTTAACTACCTCTACCTTTTTCTAACCTTGTTTTAAGTTAACTTAGCTAAATTTTTTTTCAGATAATCTGGTCACACTACATATGTATATGGTCGAACAAATAGGTTTTTGCGCTATTTTATTTTCGAGGCGAATTTAGGTCAGATTTAAAAAAAATACAACGGTTTTTTACATTTCAAAGAAAAAAGTCGGTGTGCTTAAAAAGTAAGAGAAAGCGGTTTAAAACACGTGCCAAATTTCACATGCGATTATAAAGGATCAAAAAATCGGTGAGTGTTTAGCAAAAAAAAAAAAAAAACAGAGGAACGCCAGGAGCTAAGATTTCAATTTCCGATAAAGTATCGTAGTTCGATGAACTTCCCAGAACAAATTGAATTCTTCAGCTTTACAGCGACGGCTCTAATCTAAGCATTGCCGTTTGAACACCAACAACAAAGAGTAGTATAGTAGCAAATTTGTTATTTAAATATTCAGATGAAGGATATCAAGAAATTGGAGAAACGTTGGACGAAGTGTATAGAGGTCAGAGGAAACGATTTTGGTAAAAATTATTCGCATTTGAGCCGTATAACAGTCCATCATTCAAAATGTCACATTTAACTCAACCTCGTACATTGAATTGCAACTTAAATATTAAGAGATCGTTTATCGAAGTTCCGAACTATGGCTAAATTTTAACTTTCATTGAAGTTTTGCAAAAGAAAAAAAAATATTAAATGATTTTCAAAAGTTATGCAAAATTCTAAATTTCACAACTTCCGGGACTTCGCAAGTATATTTTCTGGTCCCGTTTTAAAAGTGATATTTGTGTATGAAGTAAAGTTAAAATCTAAAAACTTAAAAAGTTTTGAAAGTAAAAAATCGTAAAAGCAAAAACTTATAAGAATTTTCGGATTTTTTTTATACATACGAAACTTCAAATGAAATTTTCAAAAAGTAGTTTTTTTTTTACTTTGAAAAAACAAATACCTTTGCCACCTATAAATAAAGTTATGTTAAAACTTTTTTATTTAATTTGAATTTATTTTTAATTTAAAGTGCGAAGGTGCCACGCCCATTTTTTTCTAAATGTAGTTTTTGATGCAGAATGACAAATAATGCGAAAGTATATAGATTTTTCGCCTCTCCTGAACAATTTAAAAAAATTGACTTGTAACCTTTTCACGTTTATGTATCGATATGTACATACAAAGTTCAATACAAAGTCGTTGGTCTAATAAACGTGATTCCCTATTATGTCACAGCGAATTTTGCACAATATATGTACCAGTTTCCATTCTAATATTTTTCCGCTCATTTTTTATAAAAACACAACAACAAAAAACATAAAAATATAATAATAAAACTCGCGAAAATTCAATAAATTTTCATGCGAATTTTCAACTTGTTAATCAGATTTTTTTCGAATTTTCTTGAGTATGCAGTTTTGTAGCCCATTAAAATCTAGTAAAAAAAATGCAAGTTCGGAATTAGTCAAAAACCGCATTGATTTTTCAGTTTTTTTGTTGAAGGCGTTTTGCATTTTTTCCATATAAAGTATTTTCCAATTTATTTTTTTTTTATAGAAGAGACTGCGTGAAAGAAAATGTCAAAAATCTACTACTTTATTACAATACAATTGATTGGGCTACAAATGTGCATACTTAAACAAATTCTAAAAAATCTGGTTGAACAGTTGCAAATTTTCTTGAAAATTTTAAGAATTTTCGCCAGTTTTGCACTAAGTTTAGAAATTATATTTTTTGTTTTTTGTTGTAGAATGAACCATATTTTTTACAAAAAATTGGCGGAAAAATATTACGATAAAAATTGTTGCATATATAGTAAGAAGCAACTGTGCCAATACTTTTTGCCGGCAGTGTATGTATGTATCTAAAAACTTTTCGCACATACGTATGTACATACATGTATATATGTACATATATTTTTTTGCATATCGCACTTTATTGCAATTTATTTCCTCTTTCCACTATTCAACTGCTCCACATGACTCGCTCGTATACAATCAAGCAACTTCAATCAATATCATTCTTTAATACTGGGCATTTCTTGTGCTGTCTTTCTCAAGTGGCAATTTATTCATTTTTTAAGATTGGCTTAAATATCTGAGTTTCTGAAAGCGTGGGTACTTGAAGAGTTTGTTTTTATTTCCTCACATGACAACTTAGGTAGAGATGTGCAATAATTCCTTGAACAATGGCGCTTCTTTGTTTCTACTTAGAGGTATTTCAACTGCTTCGTGGTAGCCATTTTTGATTCGAGTATAAATTGCCATCGAATGTATGTAGATACACGCTTGGAATTGCATGTGTACTGTGGTGGATGAGTATAACTTATAGCCCGCAAAAAAATGTGAATGTGTGTATAAAGATTTACTAATTAATTTTTATTCAGGCACATACGAGTATATGCTACAATTTTTACCTAACTTGTTGTTGGCAAGGAAAAAGGGACCAAATAAATATCATTTTATTTACTATACTTTGCATCAATCAAGCGAGACTTGTCGAGAGATTGTCGGCCTCTCTTTGCCTAGCGAACAATATGAAAGCTTTGTTGTTCAGCTTCGTTTTATGCACACCAACCAACCTCTTTCAAGGGAATGATATTTTTGAAGCACTACTTGAGTCTCACTGAAAGACAACTAAGACCTTTAACATTGGCAAAAGCCATCCAGTTCAAAGCGTCATTAATCAGTCAGGCTCCATTGCAGTTTTATGAATCCAAATCTGTACACCTTTTACTCCTTACCCTCCCCCCATCCTATAAACATTAAACTATGAGAATAGTGTTTCACTTGTACTCACTTGATTTGACGTTTGCGTTTGCGCACTGGGCGAATGGAGCACCTCGTGTTTCTCCAGTTGTTCGCGTGTCTGGAATGTCGCCGTACATTGCACGCAGTGATAGGCGCCCATTTCATTGCCTCCAATCGAACCCGGACTTGAAGCTGAACACGCCGCATCCATATCGTAAATGCTACCACCACCGCCACCAGCGCAACCATTAATATTGCCCGCCGCCAGCGCATGCGTCGCCGCATGTGGATGATGATGTCCGTTGGTGGCAAAAGCTAGCAATTGACTCGTGGGTGAGGTGGTGCGCGCAGATGTGTTCGATGTTAACGCAGTCGCAGCTCCGCCGCCAATTCCATTACTCAATCCATTTACTCGATCACTTTGTTGCTGTTGTTGTTGTTGTTGCGCCTGCATGGCAGCCATAGCGGCCATAAGTTGTGCAGCAGCAGGCAAGTGTGGATGCATGCCATGCGGATGCGTTAGGTGGGGCGGCAAAGGTGGCAATTGATGTTGAGCGGCAGCTGCCGCCGCTGCTGCTGCGGCTGCGGCTGCAGCAAATGGTGAAGTGGCGGCGCTGAGATCGTTAGCTGGTGTTGGTGAGACGGTGGGCGTCACATTCGGAATCATTTTCGATGACAACGACGACGACTGTTGCTTACTGGTGTTTGTGTGCGGTGAGATGGGACTGTTGGCGGTGGCGCTGATGATAGAGTTTGTAACTGTTGGTGTAATAGGTGAATGTGTTGCGTATTCAATACTTGTAATACTACTGTTGTTATTGTTTTTAATATTGCTATCGTTGTTGTTGTTGTTATTGTTTGGATTAGGTGAGTTTGTGAACTTTACAGCGCTGCCGTTACTGTTGCTGTTACTACTGCTGTTATCGTCGTCCTCGTCGTCGACGTTCTCGTTGTCCTCGTTATCGTCTTCAATATCGACGACACTATGATGTGAGTATGATTGTTGATGTTGTTGCTGTAGGTGGTTATGTTGTTGTTGTTGTTGTTGTTGGTGATGGTGGTGGTGGTGATGGTAGGCGAGGCTGGATGGATAGTTTTCGTTATTAAGTTTCTCATGCGAATGTTCGCTGGCAATGTGCTCGCGCAGAGACTGCGAATAGAAAGAAAGCGGGGTGAAGGACAGATTAGATAACTAATGCAAAAGAATATTAGAACTACACCGACTTTATAACTGTACTTGTCCTATTTACTTTATTGGGTTTTCCTGCTTTTTTATTTTTTGCTTTAAAATTTGCGAAAAAAAACTTAACAAATGCATTTACTTACCTGAAATCCTAGTCGGGTCGGACATCGCGGACAATTTACCATAAAATCTGTGTGTGGTGAAATTGGACCCGGCATAGAGGTGTTCTCCTCCTCAACGTTACTGTTGTTTTTTGAACCGTTTTGATGATGAGGATGGTGCAAACTTGATGCCAATGAGGGAACTGGAAATAGAAAAGAAAAATATTATATAATAATGTTATCATTGCATTTTTTGGGATTTCTAGGGGACATATAAAAATAGTGAATATTTAAAAATGGTTAACTAAAGAATTCGGTATTAGTGTTGGAGGTCTTCTGAAGAGAAGTAAATTTTTTTTCCCATATAAAAAAGTGGACAATTTTGAGCGCTTTGAGCGACCCTTAAGCATTTTATGATTTCGAAAAAATATAGGCATATTTTTTGGTATATCGTAGGAGGTGAGAGCATTAACATTCCCACTTTGCTTTTGTTTTGGAGCACCCTAGTGTATATAGATATTTCCAAGACATACGGAAATATTTAGAGATATCGACAAGAATGTGAGTGTCGACCGTAAATTACATCTCAAGCCGCGAAGCTTAACCAAAATTTTAAACATTCGCATATTCGATTGCAAATTACGCATTAAGTGCCTGTATTCTTTCTGCATCCGTAATCAGCGGCGACAGTTCACTTTATACATACTTAACTATTTCGCACAAAATGTTAAACTTATCAGTTTTGGGAGTGCACAAAAGTCAAGAGTAAGGATCAACTCTTTCTTCATTTCATGGTTGGATTTCCAGTGAATCTTTTATACGAGTATGTACATACATACATACATACATATGTGTGTACCTAGCTATGTACAAAAAAAAATAATAATAATACAAACTGTGACTTCAGTACAACTGTTGCATGAAGGTATAATTATACCCTGCTGATAAATGAGGATTTTATTGTGTGTTTTATATTAGTATTTATATGTGCATACATAAATACATAGCTACATATATATGTATGCATGTGCATGTCCGTGCGTACAACAGTTCACATATCAGTTGAGCCTCTCCCTCTCAGCATGCTTTGGTTTCCACGGCTTTGCCAATGTGCGTGTTCAAGATGATGGATACACATAAGTAGATGATGATCTCATCGTCAGGTCTTTGTGCTCCAGGTTTCAAACTACATCCAAGGAAATACTTATATAAAAGTAAAGGCAACAACAAGCCAACGTATAACAACCACCAACAATCAGACAAGGCAGTCAGTTGGGTAGACAAAGTGTTTTAAGGCAGGGAAATTCTTATTCGTTGGCTAGCAACGCTAAATCGAGCTCAAGCAGAGCAAGCGAAGAAAAAAAAACAAGGCATAAACCGTAAAGAAATACAAAGATAAAGAAGCAAGTAAAGCAGATGGCTACAATAACAACAAATTCAAAATCGAGCATAAAAATGGTAGTAAGAGGCAGTGGTGAGGTAGTTTTTATTTAAGTACCCGTACCGGAATTTGCGCTCGAATAGTTGATGTTGTACCGTTTACCGCTGTTTTAAAATTTGTGGAGATTTCATAAAATGCTTTATAAAAACGCTAAAGGTACTTTCAGTAGGCTTTTAAGTGCATAAATAGTAAATTAAGCATGCATAATTTTTTGTGCGCGCCTTACAACATGCAACATCTAGTTACGTGCCCTCCCTACTGCTCGTTTATCATGTTGCATACTTTTAGGCCGCTATACTTTTCATTTAGAGAATTTTGGCGTCGAAAATTTAGCGTAGCGATTGTGAGAATTCCATACAGGTTTCAAATCCGCTTGTACATATATTTTTCATGGAAGGAGTTTAGTAAAATATTTGTACTCCTTATTATGCAAATTTCAGATTGAAAGTTCTCAATAAAAGCTCTCTAAAGTGGTAGAAAGAATTTCTTATTTTTCTTACCCAGGGTATACATATGTACGTATCTGCGTTGACTCGGCGACAACTTTTTAACATTAAATCTGTTGGTTTATCAAAAGACACCTGCACTATGGAATTTCCAAGATGATGACTCCGCTCCAGCGGAATAAGAGTTTTTGTGGCACGAAGTGAAACGGTGGGAAGTAGTAGATAGCATTGGAAACTTTCTGAAAAAATTATAACGACGTTGCACCGAAATTAAGGGCGAACTTATATAAAAATACTGCTTTCGTTAACTTCTGACCGAATACAAGCCGCTATTTAGGAAGGCTGTCTCAAACGAGGCTTTGTTTTCCTTTTATCTTTTTCCGCAGTGGGTTTAACCCCAAAAATTAGCTGGTGTACATTTGCTACCCAGAGGATACTTAATGTAAACAGTTGTGAGCTTCTCGAACCTAAAGCAAAATAATCGCTTTTTCCCATTCCCTGGTGTATACGGATGAATGAGTTTCCCCAGATGAAAATATTAAAGAAGAAATCAGTTTCCCTTTTTAAAATGATTCATATAAGAAAATAAAGAAAAAAAATATTAATTAACCTAACGAAACCGAATTTCCCTACTTAATGCTCCGTTATCAATAAAATATGCTAACTAAAAATTTTTAACAACAGTGTTAAGTAGATTACTTTGAAAAAAAAACAAGCGAATAACTTCTTTTCATGTTGAAAAGTATATCGTCCCGTTTCTGCGTTAACCTCGTATCTGCAAGAGGTATTTTAGAGAGTGTAAGAAAAAATGCTTAATTTGCGCTTAATTTTAAGCTTAATCGTAAATACCTCTCAAACGTAAATGCTTATTGACACATCCTTTACTTATTAAACTTAAATTTTTAATAATCCCTCTACGAAAACCTTTCACCGAGTATCTATCTATGGCTTTGTTCCTTTTCTTTTCTAGCAGATATCAGGAAGAAGAAGAATTGAGAGAATTACGCTCACAGAGAGCGAAATAACGAAAAATTAAAGAAACGCAAAGTTAGCAGAAACTAGCAAGTAAACAGCCGATCGGTGTATTTGACTAGTGAAAATATTTGGCGCGAATTTTTGTTTATCCATTTTGACAGCTGCTAGTTTTTGCTAGCCAAAAAAGAAGAGCGTAAGAACGAGAGAGAGAGCTGCTAGAAGTTAGTGATAACTTGTTATAATTATTTATTAAGAAACAAAGCTATTGATGAATTCAAATAGATTCTTTTGCAAACTACTCGCATTCTATTTCCTTTTCCATCAGTTAAGGTACATTTACCTATAATTTGCTACACTTTGCAGTGAAATCAGATAACATTTGAAATTTTTGTTTAACATCACTGCTGCGTGCATGGAAAACAACAAATCATAGTGATTCCGTTTAACTTTGACTGTATGCATAGAGGTAAGTTAACGAAGTAAGAGAGCGCGAGTGAGATAGCGATTGAATAGTGTGAATGCAATGCAAATGTATGAGTGACCAGTTGGATTCATCTGGGAGAAAAACGAGCAAATATGTATAATATGAAGAAAGATAAGGTATGTATGTGTACATATGTATGTGCTACGACGGTTAACTGGTTGAAAAAGTCGCAAAGCAAAGGCAAAAAGGTAAACAACAACAATTAAAAGCAAAAAATAATATCAGGAAAGAAAAAAAAACATGAAAGTCAAAATGGTGTACAAAATGGAGTTTAAAGCGCTGAATATGGAGTTCGAGTGCCGTGAACAAAGCAATTTTGTTATTGCTAACCGCTGCTATCTTTTTTTGTTCTGCGCTTTGCTTGCAATTGATGCCGAGTAGGTATGCGGGCATTAATTTCAATTAAAATGAATACTTCACGTAACGAACTGTAGTATTACATACATGCCGAGTGTGTCGACGAGTAGGTATTTTGCCTGAGCTTGAGTTGCAACTTGCAAGTGCGCTTGCACAGAAGTGGAGAATTTCATGCAGTGCAATTGCAGCTGTGTGGCTTTGTGTTGCTTATGTATGTATATGTTTGTATGTACATTCACAGCAGCGCTTATCACTTCGATCTAGTCAAGTCATTGCTTCGCGCTATTAAAAGAAATTAATTTCGTTAACGTTTTATTAAAAGTGCTGTAAGGAGTGCATAGAGGTATGTACAAGTATCTATTTATCCACTGTTGTGTTTATTTTACTTTGCCGCTGCCTTAACAAATGTATTCCTTCTTCAATTGGCACTCACTTCCATGTGACATAGTCAATTTGGTTGGGGTAGAAACGCATTCCTACTTCAACGCTTTTTTTTTGTGCTTCATTGTTGCTATTGTCATTTGATAGTTTACCTTAATTTACCTCAATTAACCGTAGGCTGGCAGGCAGACACACAACAAAAACAACAAGCGCAGCAGCAGCAGCACTGGCAGCAATTTGTTGATCAACACGCGTAGCAGAAGATACTGACTGGGCGCAAGTATTTATGAACCTAAATTTGTTGCTAGATATTTGTACGCACAGAGTATATTGCTGTTGTAGTGGCCACAACAGCAGCAACGTGTCAAAGTCCCCTTGAGCATAGCTTGCTGGAGCCAACAGCGTGACAGCGATATTCAATTGAAGTTTTTGTTTTGTTCATTAAAAGAACGTTCATAGTGTATCACATACAGTGAGGGCCAGTGAAAACCTTGATATGTACATTTAATTTTTTTTTATATCCTGTTTTTGTTTTTTAATTTTATTATTTTTTAATAAAAATGTAGCTCAAACTACAACAAAATCCATAAATCGCGAAATTTCTAACTTTGTAACAATTAAAAAAAAAAACGCAAAGTTTTTATGAAAATTTCACTTTAAGTGGAAGTTTAAAGTGGCTACAAAATACCCATGATTTTGGGTAATTTTTTTGTTGACAGTGTTGCGCTTTTCCATATGAAATAATATGCGATCATTCGTGATTTGGAAGAAAATGGGCAACACCGCAAAAAAAAAAATACCAAAGTCAACGGTATTTTGAACCGGCTTCAAACTTGTATTTTATTGTACTGAAATTGAATGGGCTAAAAACTATATATAAAAAAATCTTAAAATTCAGAATAAAAAGTGTAAATTTTATGCATTTTGACGAATTTTTTGAAATGTTACAAAAATAAAAACCTTGAGTTTCATGAATTTTGTTGTAGTGTGAACTATATTTGTATTAAAAATTAATAAAATTTAAATAAAAAAGAAAATATTAAAAAAAGAATAAAATTTACTGTAGATAAGATTTCACTGACACTCACTATATATGTAAGCATGTGTGAACACATGCAC